GCTGCTTTCGTAGAGGTGGCGCTCATACATCGAACAGGCGATACTCACCGGAGAAAGCAGTTTAGAATTGAAAGGCATGGCACAGCTATACCCGGCGTGTGGAAGCATCTCAGCGACGCCACTAAATTCGAACCCCGTACACCCCGTTCTGATTTTCTGGACGACCTTAACATTTTTGGTTTTACTGTCCAGTGATTTTTTAGCTTTTCTTGCAAATGTCCGGGTTGTGTTAATTCTTTTGGTGCACCCGTTACCTTCACAATACTCCAGTGTTTTGCAACTCAAGATCGATCTTCGTTCAAACTGCGAAAGAAAAAAACTTGGGACTTCTTTAAAAAAAAAACCTGAAAAATTCAGTTGCACTAGAAGTGGGCGTAGCTGAAGGCAGTGAATAAAAATTTAAACACATATTCGTTTCGCAAGTTTCAACAAAGAGTTCGGTACGATCAACAACATTTTTATACGTAGCACCATTCTATTTGCTTTTTAAGGGCCATCAGAAACAAATGAGAAAGCAATGGACAATAACTTTCAGCCAATTGTCAAAGCTACTCATTCAGCCGAGAATGTTACGAGTGAGTTGCATTATCTTGTTAAGCTTACGACCAGCGATTGATTACTAGGCAGTATAGCACTGGCCCAAAACAACTGAAACCTTGGTAGCTATATCACTAAAAAAGTTAAAATATCAAAGCAAATGCACATATCTGCACCCAAAGACCTGAGGTAGTGCAGCGAAGTCTCTTCCATACTGGCCCATCTGTGTCTTCGAAACGCTCTCACCCGATTCGTGGGCTCGGTTCTCGGCTTTTAACCAGCGTTTTCTGCAAAAGAACGAATCGGCTTGACCAACTCTTCTTTGACCAGTGAACGAATTTGCAGCGGTTCTGGAATTTTAATCTTCCAAGGGGATCGTTACCATTGCTCGGAACACATTATAGTTAATATTTACGTCACGCATTATAGTTTGATCATCTGAAATTTACAGCCTGCTCACAAATCATCGGCAGGCCCAGTACGGACTTCTGGAAGAGAGGGTGGGGAGGACGTGACTAGAGGGAGAGTCAAGCTCCTGAGGGATGGAGAGTGAGGGAGGGGACGGGAAGGGGGGGGGGGTGTGGTCTCCTCCCACTCTGAAGCTACGCAAAAACTAAAAGTAAAGTTGTAACACTGCCACTTACAGTTGCTTCAGTTTTATTTATAAACAGGCCCGGGTTTTTGCAGAACTGGTGCCTGTAGGGAAGAGGAGGAGAAGGAGGGGAGGTGGGGGAGGGGGGTGAGGGGAACCCTTTATCCCCGTTTGAATCCGCCTATGTAACCAGTTGTGTAGTTGATAACTTTTGCAGTTGCTTTGACCAATGGCCTGATGTTCAGTCTGCTGGCGATCGTGACATTTGTTCCG